TTCATACTGCTCGAGTAGACGATCACCACGGCTCCGACGAACTAAAATTCGCGCATCACCGGTGCTCAATTCGAATCTTGATTCGTCGGAAAACAAAATGTCCCTCTACTCGATAACCTACTAATGCCTAGCGTCGACCCACTCGTGACGTATGCTGCGGTGCTCGGGTGTTACTGGAATCCGCTGTATCGCACGACGCGCGCGCAGTTCACTATCTAAAGGTGCATTTAAACCAAACGAGCAAAGAGCTAGAGCTAGAACAAGAGCATTCTTTCTTGATCTTTTAGTGTAAACGAAAGCGCGTTTACACCAAAATATCAACGAGCAAAAATGAGAATCAAGAATTAGAATTCTTGCACATAGATGTTTAGATCAGCCGAACGAATGCTCATTCGGCTAGAACACAAGAACGCTTTGAAGAGACCGCTCCGATGAGCGAGCACGTCCGAACACGCAAGAAGGCTCTAAGCAATTGTTCGCACGCTCTAGTGTCGTTTACATCAAGCGATCGAACATTCTTAGAATATTCCCTAGAATTTTTGAGAACACAGACAGAACAACGAAAGAATGCTCTACATCTGTTTACACTAAAAGAATATGATAGAGTGGGGATAGAATGAGCATTCGCTCGTCTGATGTAAATCGGCCCGTACTGTAATTATGTTTCTAGCCCACTTGTAATATAAATAACTATTATACGCGGTGTTCTAAAATTGAAAAAACCTTAAATGGTACCAGAGTAAAGTGCATTTCGGCCTACTTTTATTTATTTATGATCATTTTTGTACTAGTAAAATAAAAACATCAATTTCAAAACTTCATATACCGTCAAAAACACGATAGAACTAATAAACAACATCAAATCACTTGAATTACAAGAAACCTACATCTTGGTCTCTTTCGACATTGTAAACCTTTACACTAATGTTGATACTGATTTTACCCTTGGCATAATGAAAGAAATCTTTACTCACAACTTTCAACATGGTTCCACTGTCGCTGATCTAACCCTGATCTGAAAACACTTTATTAACAATACTCTTGCCAATTTAATAATAAATATTACAAATCCAACACAGGACTACCAATGGGCAGGCATCCCTACTTCAGGCTTCTTAGCAGACATATTTATGAACCACATCGAGAAGAACAAGATACATGACAGCTCCAATCCATTTAAGGACAAAATCATCAAATGGTTCAGATATGTGGACGATATTTTATGCGTATGGAATGGCAACCAAGAAGAACTAACAAACTTTCTACAATACTTAAATCTTATACATAACAACTTACATTTTACAATTGAAATAGAAAACAACAAAAAATTGAATTTTCTAGACAAAACAATAGAAAGAAAATCACCCAACTTAAATTTCAACATATACAGTGTGTCCCAGGATAGATGTTACGAGAGGTATAATGACTTAAAATTTTTTGAATATTATTTTAAGTCTGAGGAATTAAGCTCTGCTTGGTGTGGAGAGAATTTTAAGTATATTTTTATATTTTGAAAATCAACTCGGTCTTGATAATGAGGCGAAAACTATTTTTAGTTCAGGTAAAGTAAGCTTTTTGTTCATAATATGGCAAAATGTCATTAAGAAAAGTTGTTCCGAATGAGAAATTATGGTACTATGCAAAATTTCAGAAAGATCTAGCTATATTGATTAAACCACCAT